TACATTGGTTGGAAAAACAACCAATTTATTCTTAGAATCTAGGTCCCTAGATCCGCCCCTGATTTTAACCCATCGCTGCAGGAAGGCCTCAAAGAAAAAGGGAAGAACTGGAAGGTGAGGAACTTTAACCGATAACAGAATCTAACTGGGCTTAATGGGAGGTTTTTTTTATATCTTAAATCCAAAATGTTTATATATTTTTTAAAATCTTGGTATAATTCCTGCTCTAAGTGAGTCTCTCTGTCAGCTAAAGGCATATTTTACAGTCATTATACTCCACTTAACGATTAATCAATTACTGACTATTTTTTCAATAATTAATCATGATTAGGATGATTTTTTTCAGGCCTAAACTGAACATATATCCTGTATTTCTATTGTTCATCTCAGAGGCTGATGGTCCGTCTGCTTCTCTGGTATATTTGGTCTCATCAGCATCATCAGAGTCATTGAGCATCTTTCTCTACCTGAAGTCAATCAGGGGAAGTTTCTCCTCAGGCTGCAGAGAACCAGCTGAAACGAATGGAGGTGATGATGCGTTCGTTGACTCACCCCATACTCCTGATCAATGAGCTCAGGTTTGAGCAGGAAGTCTGGGTATCCGGTCATCACCATCATGTGCTTGAGCTGCGGGAAAAGGACGAGGAGCCGATCAGTGGAACGGCGTTAAACACGGACGCTGCAGGATCTTTAAAACACGCAGTCACTACGGCAGGAATCAACTAATCAAAAAAGCCGCACTAATAGGATTACAGGGAAGCTCTTTACATCCAGCATGGCTCTCTAAAAGGATTATAACTTTAGATTGTAAAAGTATTAGAAGGCGTATCTTGCAGTGCAGACCCTAAATCAGCAGCACAGAGAGACACGGATTAGGCAATCCTCACTCCTCAATGTGAAGCCCTTCATGTATCCAATCACTCTCTATCTTAGACTTCAGTCAGTCACAGAATCACAAAGAACTCATTAAAGCGTCTAAAGTGCTAATCGCATCTCTCATGGCTCAGATTTCACGGTTCAGTTCAGACTCCAACCTTTGCTCTGGCCGCCTCCTTGGTGGCGTCGTCCATCCAGTCAAGTTCCTGCAGCCGAAGGTCCAGAGAGTGTTTAATGTCCTCTACCAGCTCCTGTACCTGCAGGGACGGAGGAACGGACAGTGCTGAGCTGAAGGCGGTGATGGCGGATCAACCAGACCTAAACAATCCACTTCGTTTATCTTTAACCGATTAAAAAGTTTGTTTAAAGACGTGAACTCAGATTTCCAAAGATCCTCAGAGTCTCTCAGCCTGCAGAGGATTTTTATCCTCAGACTGAATCAAATCGCTGCTGAAAGATTTACTTTTGATTTTTAATCAACCAGTAGGGTTAGTTCATACTTCACTAATATTTCTAGTTACTTAGTGAGTACTACCATGAGTAACTGAACCTGTTTCTGTTGTAATATTTTAGACTTTCAAGCATTTTATACATTAATTCAGCTGTTAGTCCGTTTTTCTTTCATCTTCAGTGAATTTGACTGAAAAAAAGTTTCTTCTCAGTTGCAGAAAATTAAAATCTAAATAAGTTTTTTTTTTTTTCTTAAGATCAGTGCAGTTTTTTTCTTGTATTGAGGAGGTAAATGAGACACTTTCCAAATGGAACAAGTCAATTTACATTTAATATAAGAAAAAATAATTGCATTTTCTTATTTTGAACGCATATTATCTAATTATCTTATTTTAAGAGTAATAACACTCATTCCATTAACAGATCATCTTATTTTCCTGCTCAAATCAAGGCTAAAATACACTTAATTTAAAAGATTGACTTATTTCTAGACAATGTTATCCTCTGGTTTCCGCCACCCATCATCAGAACCACATCCCATCCCTGATTGATTAAGAGCAAACGACCTAACAATAAACTTTGGATGCATGTTGCCCGTGGCAACAACATAGTATAAAAACCTTAATAATAAAGTAATGTTATCAGAAGGAACTGCTTTGTTTTCTCAAACTTCTTCAGTTATTTAAAAATGCTCGAAATATAATTTTCCAGGAAATAAAAACCCAATCAGGGATGAAGACTTTGGTCCAAACCCCTCCTGAGCGCCGCCTGCAGCCACGGCGGCTCACGCTGCGAAGCCTCAGCGGCGCCGCTCGCTCTGTACTGAATAATAACTCAGGCGTTTACGCCTCCTCCTCTTTTCTCTGGTTGAAGGTAAATAGTGGAGTTGGTTGACAGTTGCCTTTTGTATCTATGCTTCTTTTTCTATGTCTG